AATAATCTAGAGGACAAGGAAATTAATTTTCACTGACATGGAAGCCTAGCTGTTATGTTAAGGTTTTTCACGTGACTTTGCTCTTCGGTAGGTGTACCAATAATAACAGTAACAACGCACATTTGAAGTTCTACCTCCTTATGCCTCTTTCACTTACATGTGTCAAGGACAAGTAAAAAGATTTCACTTATCCATGAAGCAGGGGAAAAAAAAAAATTGTAAATCCCCCAGAGAGTGACGGGGCAGATTGTTTCTACATTAGTGTCACTCCTTTTGAAGGAGGTTTCCTACCTGTATGATTCAGGGAAAAAAAGCCTCATAACTATGACTTTGGAAGCAGATGCTGTATATGCATCAGGGGAAAAAACAAAACAAAACAAAACACCAACATACTACATATTCACACACGAGAAAAGCTTCAGATCTGTAAAATCCTACACCACCATGCTTAGAAACAGCTAAAATGCCTCCTTTGAATAAAAACAAACAAAAAACCAAAACAGCACAAACATGGGAACTTCCCCATCCAAGAGGATCTTTCAACTTTTGATTAAGAGCCCCGTTACATCAATTCAAGGTGTCTCTCAATCAGAACAGTAAGAACTTCTGAACATTATTATATCAGCATCCTTGTCAAACATACACAGAGGGCTTACAACTTTCCATTTCATTCTTGACCCCACAAATAACCTACCATTACCAGCTGAATACGAGTATCGGTTTCCCTTGTGCAATTCTTAGCACTCAGCAGAAATTAACAAAAACCTTTGTGTATTACATTATTTTGCTAAGTTTTATCCCTACAAGAGAAAAGAGAAGAAAATAACATCAGATCCCTTGTATTTCAAAACATACAGCAAGACTACTAGTGTCATCTTTGACTTTTTGAGGCAGTAGTATTAACTGTCAAAGAAGTTAATTAGGTAAAGAAAGAGTTTGAATGTCTCAATAATATTACAGGGGATGATAACATCTGGATACTGCAGAAATATTTTTAAAATGCAGTGAAAAATCTGGCATGATTAAAAAAAAAGGAAGAGTAGCTAAAACCTGGGGAAAGTATGTTTAAAAAGAAATCTTGTATCTTGCATAAGTCAGCTCTAGAAAAAGAATTAATCTTCGGTCTGAAGAACGGCAAGTCCAGATGACTGAAACACTAAAACAAACAAGTTATTCAGGAATGAATATTTTTCTGTATCACTAGTGGCAAAATGCTTTTAAAAAGTTAATCAAGACTCAAAATCTCTCTTCAAAGTAGGTACACAGTACTACTCTTCCAGTTCAACCTTTATTATATTCCCCAAACTTCCTATAGGAAAGGCATACTGCTCTGAGACAAAAAATGAAGAACAGGAAAGCTGTGAAAAAAGTGCTCTTCTGTTTGCACCTACTACATCTTTTTTTCCGTGAAGTAACATAAGACTCTATTCATGCCTCGGTTATGTTAACTATCTGTAAGTTTGACAAAGGAAAAGAAAACTCAGTATCTCTCCCAATATAAAAGAAGAAATTTCAAAGTTTTTTCACGAGTGCTTCACCCTATTCCATTAGCTTACTTCAATGAGCTATGAAATGAAAAATGTACATGATTCCACCTTTCTTCAATGCCACATTTCATCACTTAAATAAGCACCTTAAAAAATAGCTATTAATAATGGACACACATCACATTTCTTCAATCTCCTCGTTTCAACAACAGTCAAGATTTGCCAGAAATACTGGGCTCAGACACAAGAGGTGATCACAATACCTATGACTGTTCTGACAGCATCATCTCATTTGACTGGTACTTCAATGAGGAAAATAGTTAAGAGTCTTTTTAAAATAACAAAACAATTGCAATACATGAAAGTGTTTTAAAGGCTTCGATTGCTTAATTTGGTTGCATTACTACTTGAAATAAGTTGTCTACTAAACTCAGTATTCCTTATTATTACAACCCCATGCTGTGTGCTTTCTGTTCCATATGTTGCTATTTAGAGTCATCAATAACCATTTAAGAATCAGATCTTGTTTTCTGCAGAAAGTTTATGGCTGATGATTCTAAATGAAGATGCATGAAGTACAAACAATAAAGCTTAATGTTCAGAAACTAGGTAAAGTAAACTAAATCTAGAACACAAAGAAGCTAGAATAGAAAACATGCATATGGATTAATAGGTCCAATAATGGAAACCAGAAATCTCACAGAAATTTAGAGTGTTCAGATAGAAGTTCAATTCTAGCAATCTCAGTAAGCTCTCTCCCAAAGAGGGTTTTCAACTAATATGCATATTGCTATAAGGAATTGCTGTAACATGCTGTAAGGAACATAAAACTCTAATACAGGCCTTTTTGAGAAAAGACTATAAAATTATTTGTTTTCACCATACTTTCTGGAACAATACTTGAGCTCAAAATCAGACACAAATTGAATACCTTAAAACTGTTTAACACTAAATGGTATAGTACATACATGAAATACTGGACTGGATAAGCTATCTCGTATCACCTTGCTGTTCAGTTATGTAG